AGGGTCAGATAGACTCAGCGACTGTAATTATAATTTTTAAAGAATTACGAAAGGATAGATTTTTATAGTCATCTTTCATACTAAAAATAAAAGAGTTAGTATTTCAGTAAACATTCAGTCTGGCTGTAAAAAAAAAGGTTAAACCTTTTGGTTCAGATACACGTCTAAAACACGTCTAAAGCTACTGCTGGATTCTGAAGAAGAACAAGGTGAATGTGATTGATCTCCTGATCTGAACCCGATCGAACACCTGTGGTGAAATCAGCAGTGACAAGTGGAGCATCGCTCTCCGTCCAGCATCTAGCTCTAAAATAATTCTTCTTGAAGAATGGAGAAAAACAGATGCTGCAATCTGTCGCCAACTTATTAATTCCATCCATAAAAAACTTGGTTCTGTCCTTAAAAATCACAGTGCTCTAAAAAATACTGGATGCAGTTCATTTATGCTTCAACCAATGTAAGTAAAACTGAAGATTGAGTGATCTGTGTTCGATTATTAACCTTGATTCGTGTTATGGAGTCAAATATGTGTTTAATAAAATTCAGCCTTGTGAAAAGTTTACAAAGTGTCCCTGTGTTCTTGGAGTTACTGATTAAATTCGTACGTTTTAAAGGGGATGAACCCATTGATGCTGAGCACTGTATAACTCAAAAAGAGACCAACCTCTGATACGCCTCCTTCTCTTGCACCATCTTCTCCAGAATGTTCTGGTAATCAACAGGTTTGCTTTTCAGCACCACTGGCTTAAAGAGAAGCAAACATTAGGGATATTTGCGTGCAAGACCATCAACCATGCCAGTACAGGACTCTTTCCCCACTGGATTTGTTTCAGGGGAATTTGTGTGATTAAAAAAAAAATCTGCAAATCCCCAAAATTTGCCATAGTTCTTAGACGACGCGAATCCAGTGCGAATAGGACATTAGACTTACTGCAGGTTTCGTGACTGGTGTGCTGGGCTCAGAGAAAGCATCTTTCTCAGGCGTAACCGGCACACGGACGCTCCAGTCCAGAATCTCCTTCAGGGATGGGAGGTACTCGTCGTCATGACCACTGCTGCTGCTGCTGAGGCTGATGGCACAATGTTCTCGGAGCTCATCACCAGAACCATACTCCAGCTCTATATCCAAGGGATCCTTCCACAGGGGGCAGTGTTTAGCTTTGTCCGCTCCTTCTACTTTCACAGACAGGCCTGGGCCTGGCTCGATGGCCCCTGGACTGCGTGACTGCTCCACTTTCACCAGTGCTCTTTCATCTGGGTTCATCTTGCATGCACTGGCTTGTTCTGTAAAGCTGGATATCTTCCAATCAGATAAACTTTTAACACTCTCATTATGGTGTTTAGAGACAGATTCCCCCTCAGCCTTTAGCCTATTGTTGGGAGTACAGAGGGTATCGCTGCCGGCAAACGTTGGCGGTTGGGAAACATTGAATAAATTAGGCTGGCTGGATTTAGTTGACTGGGAGGAGTCAGTTTTGCCTATTTGTACCTCCGTGCTTGATTTGAAGAGCTGTATGGTGGAGGTTGGTTTCAGTTTGGTGCCACAGTTTGATGCAGGAGAGTGACTTTTAGGGGGAAAATCCTTTAAAGTAATCGGAGAGTCTGCGCTGTTGTTCAAGAAAGCTTGCTTTACATACTTTGGAGACGAGTTCATTCTGGAGCTGTGGGGAGGGTTAACACGAGGCCGTTTCATTTCCCTCTCAGAGTCTGTGCTTTCATTGCTTTTTCTCTTCGCAGATAAGGACAGTCCGCCCTCTGTTGGAAGAAATCGGTCATTGATATAGAAACAAATAAATAACTGTTTGAAAATATTAAAGGTATGTTTGTAATAATATTTTTGGAAAACGCCTTGGAGGTAAAATAGTTCTGTAACTGGCAGTCTTTTTCTGTAGGATAAAAATGAGTGAATGAGCAAAAGAGATCAATCTAAATCTAATAAAGTATTAGAAGTGACTTCAATCCAGCAGCAATTCTTCTAGCAACACTTGCCGAGTTACTGAAGGAGCTCTGCTGGGAGGTTGTTCCAAACATCTCGGGGATCCAACCACTGATGTGCTGGAGATTTAGCATCACACATCCAGCCGTCTCTTCATGTAATCCCAGACGCAATCCGTGTGTTTAATTATTAAAGACATACAGTGAGGGAAAAAACTATTTGAACCCCAACTGATTTTGTAAGTTTGCCCACTAACAAAGAAATCATCAGTCTATAATTTCAATGGTAGGTTTATTTGAACAGTGAGGGATATCAATGGCAAAAAAAATCTAGAAAAATGCATTTCAAAAAGAGTTATAAATTAATTTGCATTTCCATGAAGGAAATAAGTATTTGATCCCTTTGAAAAACATACTTCAGTACTTGGTGCCAAAACAGAGGTCAGCCGTTTCTTGTAGTTGGCCACAAGGTTTGCAGACATCTCAGGGGGGATTTTAGCCCATTCCTCTTTGCAGATCCTCTCCAAGTCATTAATGTTTCGTGGCAGATGTTTGGGAACTCGAACCTTTAGCTCCCTCCACAGATTTTCTATGGGATTAAGGTCTGGAGACTGACTAGGCCACTCCACGACCTTAATATGCTTCTTCCTGAGCCAATCTTTTGTTGCCTTGGCCCTGTGTTTTGGATCATTGTCATGCTGGAATACCCAACCACGACCCATTTTCAATGCCCTGCCTGAGGGAAGGAGGTTCTCACCCAACACTTGACGGTACATGGCCCCATCCATCCTCCTTTTGATGTGGTACAATTGTCCTGTCCCCTTGGCATAATGTTTCCACCTCCATATTTGACGGTTGGGACAGTGTTTTTGGAGTCATAGGCAGCATTCCTCTTCCTCCAAACACGGCGAGTTGAGTTGATGTCAAAGAGCTCAATTTTGGTCTCATCTGACCACAACACTTTCACCCAGTCTTCCTCTGAATCAGTCAGATGTTCGGTGGCAAACTTCAAACGGGCCTGTAGAATTTATAACTCTTTTTGAAACACATTTTTCTGGGTTTTTATGTCCATGTTGTCATTGTTCAAATAAACCTACATTTGAAATTATAGACCGATCATTTCTTTGTTGGTGAGCAAATTTACAAAATCAGCTGGGCTTCAAATAGTCTTTTCCCTCACTGTAGATCAGCTAATTTAATAAATGTAAGACATTTTAAGGTCTAAAATGTGGGTTTTTAAGACCAAGTTTTCAACCAATCACTAATTGTAATGGATTGTTACTATTGTATAGTACCCAGGACAAAAGCAATGTGGTGTTCTGGTGCTTTAAAAATAGTTTGTCTTTACTAATACAAGTGTGACACCTAGTGGTGAAAAAACGTACATATAGTCTATTACAAATTGTTTACCTGGACTTGTGTTCTTGTGAGGAGCGGTCAACTCCTGAAAAACCAACAATGAAAACATGTCAGTCAGGAACAGCACGGTAACGGCAGAGCCAGCGCATCATATTATTGGACACAAACTCCACCTTCTGTCCGAACATGTTGCTAGAAGGAGATGCTTTCTGGTCTCTAGGCTGTTTTCCATCATCAGAGTGGCCTGCTGAGTGTTTGGGTATCAGCTGGAACAAATGTGTCTTACGTCTTTCCGGGCTTCGTCTGGGGAGTGATGTGGGAGTGAGACTATGCCTTCGGGCAGTCATGGACCGGAACAAACCTTCTCCAACCTGAACACAGGAGAGCAGTGTTGAGACAACTTGCCGAGGGTTCACTGTATCTGGTAATCTCTAGCTTCTATCATTCTTCACAAAGACTTCGAAAAGCCTCAGAACCCAGAACCATAGCAAATATATAAACGAAAAGCAAAACACCTACTGTGTTTTCTGTGTTCCTTTATTGTCAGAAGAGAAAAAATAAATGTGTATTTACCCTCAAGTTTTCATTCAGCTCCCTGCTGAGAGCAAAAGAGGCTTCCCGATCTCTGCTGTAAGATGATATGGTTCGTTGCAGGAGATCCCTTTTCTGCTTTAGAGCGGGACTTGTTGCAGAGCCAACAGTGCCACTGTTCGGCTGAAGGTTCCTCACATCTTTCAAACTCTTAAAATTATCTCGTTCTGTCCTGGAGCTCTTGTTTGAGGTTTGCAGAGTGGCCGTAGAGGACTTTCGTGAGATGCCGTTGGTTGAGGGTGGAATGTATTTAGGCAGCGAGACAAAGCATTTTGAATTCTCCCAAGAACTTTTAGAAAGGCCTGGAGCTGCGTGTGACGTGGCATCCACGTTGTTGTGCTGTGGAGTGACTTTGTTGACTAAAATGAAAAACAACAGTGCCGTCAACAAATCCATTAACGTCCGGTAAATACAACTGAATTTGATCATTTTCCATTTGTTTCCCTGGTCACTATTTTTCTCACTCACTAGCATTAACGCTAGTAAACAGACAGAAATTACATGGCAGTTGGCGCCCTATTTCAGCACCACAATATCTGCAGCTGTTTGCTCCCACTGCGTCAAAAGGCATCTGCACAATCCCCCACTGCTCTCTAAACACTCTCAGTCACTCTCCATCTCACAAGTAAATGATTTGAGAAAATGAGCAGTTTTATACACTCCTCTTTTAATGCAAATCAACTCATTGTTATATCATTAATGCACAGCAATCCACATCGCCAGGCTTTTCCTAACGGTGCTGAACACAGCTGGTTGAGACGCAGGTGTGTAATGACTTTTAAAGTTGTATAGTGTATTCCAGCCATGGTTTTGAAAACAGGAAACTTTTGTCAGGTTTGTCCAGTATAACCATTATCCCATACCTAGCCCAAAGGTGATCAACAGCAGCTCTCAACAGAGTAAGCATCCAAACACAGCGTTAACCGAAGGATGAATTATTTCTCACCCAAGAAGGTGCTTTTCTGCTTGAAGAAGCTTGACATTTTATAAAGATGACACCCAGACAGCCCTTTTTAACATCTGGGTGACCTGCAGACAATAAAAAGCATACACTGAGTGTTCAAACGTACAAGCAAGTAGTCAAATATGTCATTTTCAATGTGCAGTTAAAACAGGCTTTTCTGTGGCTCGGTTAGTAGAGAATAGCGTTCACGACGCAGAAGTTGTGGGTTCAAACCCCAGGGAAAGCAAGAAGATATGAAATGTGTTTTCAACATTCGTTGAAATGTAAGTCACTTTGGATAAACATACATATAAATATTTCTTTGCATTTCAAATAGTTTAGACCAGAACAATTGTTGCAGCATGGAAAGATCTAAAGCAGATGCATTTATCAGTTGTTGCCCTTAATCTGGACCCAACAACAACCTTTACTATCCCACAAAGCTGGTAAACGTAGAACTAGATGTTTCTGTCCCTTTTGTCTGTAGCTCTTGATGGTAGCTGATGGTGTAGCCATATATTTGGTGTGGGCACCCTCCTTCCTCAATGTTTTGCTGATAACAAGTCTCAAAAAGCTCAACAGTGTAACTCTCGTCCTTGATTCATCTTGACGATGGAAAACCTTCCTCCTCTTTTTTTGTGGTGCAGTCTCTTTTGCCTCTGTTATATTCATGTCTATATTTTCAGCCTTTAGTTTCATAGTTTTCCCCATGTATTTACTTCCGCCTTACATGAGATCCGTCACATGTTCGATCATTCTGTGTTTTGCCGCTGTCTGTCCCTTCCTGTCTGCCATCCCATATTACTCCCCAGGTGTTTTGTGTGAACCGGTGTAAAGAGTAAACGCCTACGTGGGCTCGGCACAGAACCATTGGTGATCACTACAGTTTATTCCTCCTCTTTTGGTTTTATGTTATTCATGTTTTCCATAGGAGGGTCTTTTACGTTTCCTTTCGTGTTTATATTACTTGTTTTTGTGATCGATAAACTGTGATCAATAAACTATAACAAAAATGGCTTTTAAGCCAACAGTTATTTCGGAGTATATTGATGGTTTATTGCAGGTATGTTGTTTACATGAGAAAATCTGTGTCACAAGTTAAACAAAAAAATTCAATAAAGAATCAGATTTTGAATTCAAATAGTTTCTTTGTCTTGAGTTTATATTTCTTATTCAAATTTTACATTTACAAATCCAAAAAGTTTCAGCCTTTTAATTGCAATTAATCGTGATTAAATGCAAAAAGTTGTGTGATTAATGAGTTTGGTTTTTTTTTAATCGATTGACACCAATAAATAATATCCTACATAGTGAAAGTAAACCAGGGGACGATTTTGGGCATGTAAAGAAACATCTTTTACGTTCATGCTAAATTTCTCCTCATCAAAAAAGCCTAACATTAGTGTATTTAGAAACAAAACGTATGGTGACTTCCAGAACACATTAATACAGTTGATAAAATATTGCTAAAATCGTTAACTAACGCCAATCATTAAGCCAACGTTTACTTTTAAACTTTATAAAATGTTATTTCTAGTTTTAAGGTGCAAGTTCATAATTTACAACGACAATAACGCTTCACATGTACGTTTATTGGAAAAACGTTAACGTTACTTCTTGAAATAAATAACATTATAAATTGTCGTCGCACTTGCTAACGCTGAGGTCATTTATCCCTAAAGCTTCAGTAATTAACTACGAGAGCGTTACACTGTAACAAACTGAAATGTAAACAACGTAAAACTTGGACAAAAATGCAGAAAAATGCGTACCATTCTCTGTTAACGTTTATCGAGTTCTCCGTGAAGAGAGCACTGCAATGTTGTGTTTGTGGGTAACCGCCATCTGTGAGAGTGGGAGGAGCCAATGATGAAACTCGCGGAAATAGCCGCTAGAGGGCGATGGAATTTAACCGCCAAAAATATACGGTTCTGTGACTTAAACCAGTTCGGAACAATAATCAGACTTATGAATCTTTTATTATAAATGCATTACATAGAACAGCAATATAATAGGATATAGAGATAACAGGTTTTACAGAAATTAGTAAAGAAATAGACTTTATTTTTTATGGAAGGGCAAAAAAACATTACAAAAAACTGTGCACGACAATACAAATCTGGTATGTAAATCTAAACACAAATAAAAAACCAGTCCACATAAAACCTAATCAAATATGCAATACTACTACTACTACTACTACTACTACTACTAATAATAATAATAATAATAATAATAATAATAATAATAATAATAATAATAATAATAATAATAATAATATACATATGTACAATAAAACTGTCAGAAACAAGTTTGGGGTTGTGTAGCACAACATAGTGTGAGATATTTGCCAGAGAATATAAGCTTGGGCAAATTCAACACTGTTGCCATGTGTTCTTGAAAGTGGTTCACACTGAGCACATGCACAGAGTCTAAAGATGCTATGTAGAATGTTTTGCTGCCTGAAGCATTCTCCGTGACAGTTTTGTTGTGGGTCAGTGATGATGTGGGGTGGCATTTCTTTGGAGAGTTGCAGAGCTCTTCCTGTATCACGAAGGCATTCATGCTAAGGATATCATGTCTTGGTGTATTCCATAGACTGTAAAAAAAATATGGACGATGTGACACCGCCTACTGCCATTGGGCTTAAATGAAGCCATTTTAGAGCTGGTGAGGATGGCCTCACGTACAAACAACAGACATCCTGTTAAGGGTAGAACTGTCATAGATTCAGAGCTCCGCTCCGAGTCTGGTTCACACAGCCCCCTCCCACAGTCTGTTATATACTTATTTTGTAATTTTAAAGAAGAATTTGAGGGCGAGTTCTCTGAATTTCATCACTGGCAGCGTAAATGACCTTTCTCCTGATGGGATGACACCTGTAAGTCTCTGTTCTAGCTGTCAATGACATGGTCCCGCCTAGATTTTTTAGGGGAAAATTAAACCATCCTGAACCACACAAAAATAAACTTGAGCCAAGACAAAACTATTGAAGTTTGTTCATTGTATAGATAAGTTTAGAATATTATTAAAAGGTTTGTGTAAAGGCCAATCTTTCTGAGGAAATAATTTCTGCTTTTTCCCCATAGACTTGTATTGGGTGGTAATCATTCTGCAGCCAGTGCCATGAGGGCACTCACCACGGTTGCAGTGAGCAGGAGTCTGCACATGCTCAGAAGTGATCAATATCATGATCCACCTTGAAAGTCTGCTTACTCCTCTCAGAAGTCTGTTTACTGAAAATCCCATTTTTTTATTTTTTGAAAAATTAAACTTGAAGAAAATGTAATTTTGGAAAAAGTGTTATTGACACGAGGTAAAGGAGTTGGATAGTTTAGGATAATTTAAATTAAATATCCATTTGTAGTTTGTGAATTCTATGTGCTACAACTTGTAAATGGATATTTACACTTGTTTGTTTGCTGTCATTTGTTGTTCAATAGAAAATAAAGGACACTCTGGGATGAAAGTGAATGAAAAAATATTTAGTTAAAAGTGTTTAAATGATCTATTGTAATTTTGTCATTTTAAAAACTTTACATTTTATTTATATTACATCTAACAATTTAGCAACAAAATTAGTTTTAGCTACGTTAAACATAATACAATGTAACGATTACAAATGTACAAAGTTCTACCATCTACAATAGTTACAAGAGTGTATTTTTCGGAGGAAATGACCTAGAAATAAACGATCAAGTGTAATATTAACAATAAGGCAACTGGAAAATAAACAAAAAAATAACTGGCGATATTTTGACGAAATGATTGACAACCTTGTAACTAGGCAACCAAAAGACGGTTGGAGGTAACGTAGCACACTTTGCTGTCGGACATTCAAACTAAGTGAGTACAAAAAGGGCGCGAGTCGGGATCCAACAAATCTGGTGCGCACCGGGTCTCTACTACTGGTTTACGGTAGTACCAGATGGTTTTATATTTCGGGGGCGTTCTTCCAAATCTTACTTTCTAATTTCTGCTTGAATGCTTGGACTAGAAAATAGGGTATTGGGGAAGGAAAATGCCTGCGTTCAGCGTGTACATTTGTACAGCAGCACTACTCTGCATTGCACACGACTGTCTTTCATTCGAAAACCAGACTGTTAATTACAATGAGACTATATCTTTAAAAAACGAACTTAATTTGACATTAAACCTGACTGAAAAAGCAACAAACAAACCACAGCCCGCTGAAGACCACTCTCAGGGGGAGAAGAACACGAGTGATTATGGAAAAGAGATGAAGAAAGAGACAACCGGAGCAAAACAGATTAAAGGCAAGATTAACATTTATTTTAACCTGTAAGGCATTAATCGTAAATTTGTCAAGATTATGATAACCCGATTATACCCAAATTTACCCAAATTGGGATGTTTATAAAATATATGCTATCATTCTTTTTATTAAATTCGTATTTTCCTCAGAAGAGGGACACTGTGGTAATACAAATTATATTAGTATAAACACTATTGCACTTACCATTTAATCTTTGATCGTGATAAATTGATTTTATTTATATAGGCACAAAGTTGATATATGACCACATCTGTTTAAAATGAATGCTTAACATTTAAGTGTCATACATGAATTTTAGCCGAATCTCCAGTATGTGTTTTAAGCAACACTGGTGAGGTATCAATGTGAGATTTGTTGAGCACGAATTCCAGTTTTCCCAAAGGAGCTCTTTTCAAAAGTATTTGCCATTAGAAAGAGGGAAAATTGTTCCTTTGGATTAAAAGACAAAAACTCATTCTTCCCATTGATGCTGGAATGGACAATTAACATCCTTTTCCACTAGAAAGGAAGATCCATCAAAATAAACACCAGTTCTAAGCAGAAAATCCACTCTATTTTTATACTTCAGGTAGTTTTTTTCTAGTTATGTAATTGAAGAAGACTTCACAAGCACACACACGCACACACACGCGCACACACGCACACACACACACACACACACACACACACAATCCAACCATACCCATAATTAAAGAATTGTTAATTTTGAAAACAATATGTCTAATATTGTACAATATGTAGACCACGATCTGCAGACAGTCCGCATGTGCGGACATCTAAGAAACTTCGTGGTTTCCCTGCACCATGTGATATTGTGGATGGGAGGAAATGCTTTACGGCAAGTCGTAAAGGCTATAGTGTGTGTCCAAACGTGTGTCAGATAAGATTCAATTTTCAAAAAAACTGTCCACATGAAAACGGAAAACTCCTGAAAACGCAGATTCTAGTTT